GGAATAGTAGAGGGCATGGTCATCTGTGGGGGTTTGTGACCTACACTAATAGGTCATCTGTGAACACGAGTCTTATATTTATCATTTTTATTTGCATGTATATTTTTATATGTATCATTTATATAAATGTTGAGTAGTTTTGTAGCCCTGATGAAGGGAGAATCTGTTTTGTCCCTGAAATGTGTTGGTTTTTTCCTCCTCTGACCCAATTTTATCAGTAGAAGGTTACACATTTATTTGGTACTCTGTATATAATTGAATTCTCAACTCTTGTTTTTCTTCCATTTTCAAAGGGAGGTCCCCGTTCGTGGAGTGCTGCCGTACCGCAGCCAGTGCGCCACGTGATAATTTGTTTGACCTATCGAAAATCCTTATCCTGCTGTTCATTTTGGACTGTTTAGATCACATGACCACATCAATGAAGATGGAGACAGACCAAAGACATGTGAGAGAGAGGATATTGGACCTCACCCTGGAGATCATCTACCTGCTGACCGGAGAGGTGAGGAGGATTCTGGGAGGTCACATGACATCACTCTGATCTCTATTAATAAAACACGGACCTGACCGGAGAGGTGAGGAGGATTCTGGGAGGTCACATGACATCACTCTCATCTCTATTAATAAAATATATACCTGACCAGGAGAGGTGAGGAGGATTCTGGGAGATCACATGACATCACTCTCATCTCTATTAATAAAACACAGACCTGAACGGAGAGGTGAGGAGGATTCTGGGAAGTCTGTGGTGATAATTGTTACTTCCTCTCTATACACAGGATTATAAAGTAGTGAAGAAAATATCTGGTGATCCATTAATGTCCAGCAGTTGTCTCCTGGGGACATCACCCATCACAGGGCCTCCACCTCACTGCCTGACAACAGAGGGAACCAGTGCCAAGAAGATTCTAGAAGTCACCCAGAAGATGATGGAGCTGCTGACAGGAGAGGTGAGTGGTGCCGGGAATTCTGGTACATTCTCCAGGGATGTGTCTGGATGGTGACTATATCATTGTGTGTGTCAGGTTCTTATAAGGTGTTGAAATATTCTTTTTTTCTCCATGGAGGAGTGGGAGTATTTAGAAGGACACAAGGACCTCTACAAGGATGTCATGATGGACAATCAGCCGCCCCTCACATCACCGGGTAAGAGGAGACTTTATTGTAAAGGAGAGAGCAGTACGGAGGGTCCACCTAGATCCCCCATCATCTGATAAACACATAGAAACAATGGATTCAGTCAGTGTGTGTGTTTCCTACAGATGGATCCAGTCATGGGAACCCACCAGAGAGATGTCCCCGTCCTCTGTATTCCCGGGATTCCACACAGGAAGATCCCACCATCCCTCACCATCATAAGGTAGATGGATCCAGTAATGGGAACCCACCAGAGAGATGCCCCCGTCCTCTGTATTCCCTGGATTCCACACAGGAAGATCCCACCATCCCTCACCATCATCAGGTAGATGGATCCAGTCATGGGAACCCACCAAAGAGATGTCCCCATCCTCTGGATTCCAAACAGGAAGGTCACACCATCCCCCACCATCATCAGGTAGATACAGAGTACACCTAAAAATGTATTTCAAGTAATTGGATGAAATTCTTTTTGCCCCTTGTTATAAATGTGTAATATTATCTTGTGGTTTAGGCTGTAGAGGTGGAAGACCTAAAAATCAAGGTTAAAGAGGAAGAAGAAGAGAGGTTGGTGAGTGGAGATCAGCAGTCTATGAAGGAGGGGGAGATGATTGTGAAAATGAAGGAGGAGGAATCTTCTCTACACATAGATACAAGTAAGTAATGAACACGAAATGCCGAGACATTTTTGGAGGTTAAATCTTTTTCCTTCTGTAAAGCAAAGTTTGTTCTGTCCTTCTGACCCTTTTGCTCCCTTTGCCTCTATTGGTCCTTTTGACCCTTCTGCCCCTTTTAGCCCTTCTGATCTTTTTGTGCTTTCATCCCTTTTAAATCCCTTTGAACTTTAGGCCCCTTTTGCCCTTTTTTGATCCTTCTGACCCATGTTTCCTTTTTGGCCCTTTTACCCCTTTTGCCCTTTTTGGCCCTACTATACATTTTTTCCCTTTTTGCCACCTCTGCTCCTTTTGGCCCCTTTGCCACTATTCTTTTGCCTTATACCACTTTTTTTTATTTTGGCTTTTTTTGACCCTTCTGAACGTTTAGGCCCTTTTGCCCCTTCTGCAAATTTTTCCCACTTTGCACCTTTTGGCTCGTCTAGCTTTTTTAGCACTTTTTCCCTTTTGGCTCTTTGGCTTCTTTACGTCCTTTGGGCCTTTCAGCCTTTTTGGCTCTTTTACCCCTCTGGCACTTCTGCCCTTTTGATCCTTTGGCCCTTCTGCCATTTTAACCTATCCAGCCCTTTTTACCCCTTTTATTCCTTTGCCCCTTTTTTGTCCTTTTTGCCTGTTTCAGCCCATATTAGCCCTTTTGTACCTGTTGTCCCTTGAGCTTTAATGTTCCTTTTGCCCTTTTGACAAATTGTGCCATGTTTGCACCTTTTTTTTTTTTTTTTTTTTCCCTTTTGGTACTTTTGCCCCTTTTTGATAATTTTAGCACTTTTTGGCATTTTTGTCCCTTTTTGGTCCTTTTTTTCCCTATTGCCCCTTTAGGCACTTCTATTTCTTTCAAGATAGAGAACTTGACATCCTTGGGTAAGGAAAAAAATTATGGAAAGTCATAACTGCTAACAAGTAGAAAAATCACCTTTTCGCTTTTCTAAAAAAAATAAGGTGGCGATATTGTCCACCATATGAAAGGTCCATCTCCATTCCTCAATATAATGTCATGTTCCCAACAAATGAGGAGGAGATACTGGACACCATATGAAAGGTCCATCTCCATTCCTCAAAATAACGTCATGTTCCCAACAAATGAGGAGGAGATACTGGACACCATATGAAAGGTCCATCTCCATTCCTCATTATAACGTCATGTTCCCAATAAATGAGGAGGAGATACTGGACACCATATGAAAGGTCCATCTCCATTCCTCAATATAACGTCACTTTCCCAACAAATGAGGAGGAGATACTGGACACCATATGAAAGGCCCATCTCCATTCCTCAATATACCAACATGTTCCCAACAAATGAGGAGGAGATACTGGACACCATATGGAAGGTCCATCTCCATTCCTCAATATAATGTCATGTTCCCAACAAATGAGAAGGAGATACTGGACACCATATGAAAGAGGTCCATCTCCATTCCTCAAGATAACGTCATGTTCCCAACAAATGAGGAGGAGATACTGGACACCATATGGAAAGGTCCATCTCCATTCCTCAATATAATGTCATGTTCCCAACAAATGAGAAGGAGATACTGGACACCATATGAAAAGGTCCATCTCCATTCCTCAATATAACGTCATGTTCCCAACAAATGAGGAGGAGATACTGGACATCATATGGAAGGTCCATCTCCATTCCTCAATATAATGCAAACAAATGAGGAGGAGATACTGGACACCATATGAAAGGTCCATCTCCATTCCTCAATATAATGTCATGTTCCCAACAAATGAGGAGGAGATACTGGACACCATATGAAAGGTCCATCTCCATTCCTCAATATAACATAATTTTTTTTTAATAACTTGAAGAATACTTGTAACTTGTTTTTTTCTTTTTTTAAATTACTTTCCAACAGATGGGCACTATGTCTGGAATACCACGGAGAGACATCTTACTTTATCTACTGAATTTTGTGAAGAAAATATGGTTACTCCAGATAGCAATCAAAATTCTCAGAGTGCAGAAACATTGTCAAGTTCAGTGTGTGGGAACAGAGCACTTGTTAGACACAAGAAAAGTAACACAATCGTGGGTCCCTATTCATGTCCAGAGTGTGGGAAGTGTTTCAGTCAAAAAGGAAACCTCCTTAATCATCAGAAAAGCCACACAGGCGAATGCTCCTATTCATGTTCAGAGTGCGGGAAATGTTTCAGTCGTAAAAGAAAACTTATTCTACACCAGAGAATTCACACCGATGAACGTCCTTATTTATGCTCAGAGTGTGGAAAAAGTTTCACTGAAAAAAGAAGCCTTATTTTACACCATAGAATTCACACTGACGAGCGACCTTATTCCTGTGCGGAGTGTGGAAAATGTTTCACTCAACATATTATACTTCTTAGACACCAGAGCGTTCACGCAGGCCAAGGTTCTTTTTCATGTTCAGAGTGCGGGAAATGTTTCACGAGGAAATGCAGCCTGGTTGAACACCAGAAAATTCACACTCAGGACGGACTTTTGTCATGTTTAGAGTGCGGGAAAAGTTTCTCCAGGAGAGGGAGCCTTATCAGACACCAGAGAATTCACACCGGGGAACGTCCTTTTTCTTGTTCGGATTGCGGGAAATGTTTCACTCAGCAAAGCATACTTTTTAGACATCGCAGTATTCACACCGGCGAGCGGCCATTCGCCTGTTCACAGTGTGGGAAGGCTTTCTCTAGGAAAAGAAGTCTGATTGGACACCAGAAAATTCACATTCGGGATGGCTCTTTTTCGTGTTGAAATATTTGACACAAAAAAAAATGACCTAATAAAGCAACTGTTCGGGTGATCGAACGTGATTAACCACCCTGGCGGTCTGATTATGTCAGTATTGTTGAATGTCAAAGCGCTACATTGTTTTGCATGGAAATTTGTTGTTTTGTATTGTAGGCCTGTCATTCCTAGGAATAAATCACTGAAATCTGTCCGCACGAGAGTCTAGAAAACATCCCGAGAAAGTCTGAAACACAAAATCATAAATTATAATAAATATGCTCAGTCGCAGAATTGTCGCTGTCATCGCTTTCAGTGTCCGGATGACGAATTTCCCCCACGAATCACGATCGCTCAATTCTGCAAGCAATTATAATTCACTATTGCTGTTTTCTAGCTGGTCCAAGTGCTGGTTCACACCGGATGTGACTTGCAGAGAACCCCCCATCCTAACCTTGTCCCGCGATCCCCCCATCCTTGCCCAGGAAGGATGCAGACCCTAGTATCTGGCCCAGGAAGAATGCAGAGCTTGGTACCTGGCCCAGGAAGAAAGCAGAACTTGGTATCTGGCCCAGAAGGATGCAGACCCAGGTACCTAGCCCAGGAAGGATGCAGACCCTAGTACCTGGCCCAGGAAGAATGCAGACCCTAGTACCCGGTCCAGGAAGAATGCAGACCCTAGTACCCGGCCCAGGAAGGATGCAGACCCTAGTACCCGGCCCAGGAAGGATGCAGACCCTAGTACCCGGCCCAGGAAGAATGTTGACCCTAGTACCCGGCCCAGGAACAATGCAGACCCAAGTACCTGGCCAACGAAGGATGCAGACCCTAGTACCTGGCCCAGGAAGGATGCAAACCCTGGTACCTGGCCCAGGAAGAATGCAGACCCTGGTACCTGGCCCAGGAAGAATGAAGACCCTGGTACCTGGCCCAGGAAGAATGCAGACCCTGGTATCCGGCCCAGGAAGAATGCAGACCCAAGTACCTGGCCAATGAAGGATGCAGTCCCTAGTACCTGGCCCAGGAAGGATGCAGACCCTAGTACCTGGCGCAGGAAGAATGCAGACCCTAGAACCTGGCCCGGGAAGGAAGCAGACCCTAGTACCTAGCGCAGGAAAAATGCAGACCCTAGAACCTGGCCCAGAAGGATGCAGACCCTGGTACCTGGCCCAGGAAGAATGCAGACCCTGGTATCCAGCCCAGGAAGAATGCAGACCCAAGTACCTGGCCAATGAAGGATGCAGTCCCTAGTACCTGGCCCAGGAAGGATGCAGACCCTGGTATCCAGCCCAGGAAGAATGCAGACCCAAGTACCTGGCCAATGAAGGATGCAGACCCTAGTACCTGGCGCAGGAAGAATGCAGACCCTAGAAAACCTGGCCCAGGAAGGAAGCAGACCCTAGTACCTAGCCCAGGAAGAATGCAGACCCTAGTACCCGGCCCAGGAGGAATGCAGATCTTAGTACCTGGCCAAGGAAGCATGCAGACCATCAACCCGGCTCAGGAAGGATGCAGACCCTGGAACCTGACCCAGGAAGAATGCAGACACTAGTACCTAGCCCAGGAAGAATGCAGACACTAGTACCTAGCCCAGGAAGAATGCAGACCCTAGTACCCGGCCCAGGAGGAATACAGATCTTAGTACCTGGCCCAGGAAGGATGCAGACCCTGGAACCTGACCCAGGAAGAATGCAGACCCTGGTACCTGGCCCAGGAAGAATGCAGACCCTGGAACCTGGCCCAGGAAGAATGCAGACCCTAGTACCCGGCCCAGGAAGAATGCAGACCCTAGTACTCGGCCCAGGAAGAATGCAGACCCTAGTACCTGGCCCAGGAATGATGCAGACCCTAGAACCTGGCGCAGGAAGAATGCAGACCCTAGTACCTGGCCAATGAAAAATGCAGACCCTAGTACCTGGCCCAGGAAGGATGCAGACCCTGGTACCTGGCCAAGGAAAAATGCAGACCCTAGTACCTGGCCCAGGAAGGATGCAGACCCTGGTACCTGGCCAAGGAAACATGCAGACCCTAGTACCTGGCCCAGGAAGAATGCAGACCCTGGAACCTGGCCCAGGAAGGATGCAGACCCTAGTACCTGTCCCAGGAAGGATGCAGACCCTAGTACCCAGCCCAGGAAGGATGCAGACCCTAGTACCTGGCCCAGGTAGGATGCATACCCTAGTACCCGTCCCAGGAAGGATGCAGACCCTAGTACCCGGCCCAGGAAGGATGCAGACCCTAGTACCCGCCCCAGGTAGGATGCATACCCTAGTACCTGGCCCAGGAAGGATACAGACCCTTGTACCCGGCCCCGGAATGATGCAGACCCTCGTACCCCGCCCAGGAAGGATGCAGACCCTAGTACCCGCCCCAGGTAGGATGCATACCCTAGTACCCGGCCCAGGAAGGATGCAGACCCTAGTACCCGCCCCAGGTAGGATGCATACCCTAGTACCCGCCCAGGAAGGATGCAGACCCTTGTACCCGGCCCCGGAATGATGCAGACCCTCGTACCCCGCCCAGGAAGGATGCAGACCCTACTACCTGGCCCAGGAAGGATGCAGACCCAGGGACTCAAGAGAAAGTATTCCAGGGACACTGCATGTTCCTCAGATTCTCAGGGTAGGGATCAGGTTTAGGGGTTTGTCAATAATAATAAAGATTTTAGAGATGAGGTTTAATGGTTACAGGCCTATAGACGTAAAGAGGAACCTCATCCCATCATGTGGGGGTTTTTTTTTGTTTTTTTTGTGTTTTTTTTTTCGTTACTGTTTTTATTGGTGTGATGATACCTTTCACATACTCACCTGCCCAGCAAATTCAGCATGGTCCGGCTGTGATTTGCATACATGTGGGCAACAAACATGCAATGGTGACAATAAAAATGCAGCAAAAAGAACTGGAACCTTGTCTGCCTATTATTTTTGTATACTACTAAATAAGATGTATGTGGATCTACCTACTGATTACAGAAAGGGTCACAAACCTGTGTACTAAGCCATAGCATCCATTCAAGACAGTGGGGGGAGAGCTGTCAGTGAATGTAGTGTGGATGGTGGGAAGAGAGCTGTCAGAGTAATGTGGAAGAGAGCTGTCAGAGAATGTGTGGATGGTGGGGGGAGAGCTGTCAGAGAATGTAGTGTGGATGGTGGGGGAGGAGAGCTGTCAGAGAATGTAGTGTTTATTGGTGAGGGGAGAGCTGTCAGAGAATGTAGTGTGGATGGTGGGGGGAGGAGAGCTGTCAGAGAATGTAGTGTGGATGGGGGAGGAGAGCGGTCAGAGAATGTAGTGTGGATGGGGAGGAGAGCTGTCAGAGAATGTAGTGTGGATGGTGGGGGGGTGGGGGGAGAGAGCTGTCAGAGAATGTAGTGTGGATGGTGGGGGGAGGTAGAGCTGTCAGAGAATGTAGTGTGGATGGTGGAGGAGAGCTGTCAGAGAATGTAGTGTGGATGGTGGAGGAGAGCTGTCAGAGAATGTAGTGTGGATGGTAGGGGGAGAGCTGTCAGAGAATGTAGTGTGGATGGTGGAGGAGAGCTGTCAGAGAATATAATGTGGATGGTGGGGGGGAGGAGAGCTGTCAGAGAATGTAGTGTGGATGGTTGGAGGATGGGGGTGTGGAGGAGAGCTGTCAGAGAATGTAGTGTGGATGGTGGAGGAGAGCTGTCAGAGAATGTAGTGTGGATGGTGAGGGGAGGAGAGCTGTCAGAGAATGTAGTGTGGATGGTGGAGGGAGGAGAGCTGTCGGAGAATGTAGTGTGAATGATGGAAGAGGAGAGCTGTCAGAGAATGTAGTGTGGATGGAGGAGGAGAGAGCTGTCAGAGAATGTAGTGTGGATGGTGGGAGGAGAGCTGTCAGAGAATGTAGTGTGGATGGTGGGAGGAGAGCTGTCAGAGAATGTAGTGTGGATGGTGGAGGAGAACTGATGGTTATGTTATTGATCTTGATGGAGAAGTCGGGGGAGGGGGCACGGGCTGGGGGGCATACTAGGAGCTCCGTTTTAGAAACATTGAGTTTGAGGAAGTGGAGTGACATCCATGCTGATATTTCACTTAGTAGGTTAGTAATGTGAGAGGAGACTGAAGGGGTGAGGTGAGGATTAGAAAGATAGACTTGTGTGTCATCAACATAGAGATGGTACTTAAAGCCATGGGAGTTTATCAAGTGACCAAGAGAGGAGGTGTAGATGGAGAAGAGAAGGGGTCCAGAACCTTGAGGGACCCCTACAGAAAGAAGGAGTGAAGAGGAGAAGACCAAGTTATAGGTAACGTTGAAGGAACAATAGTCGTGTGAACCTCCTGCGCTCACAAGTGTTTCAACTGTATAAAAAACACCAGGAGAAGCTGCTAACATTAAATCATATACCAGTGATTGTTGTAAATAAATACAATAAAAAATGTAGTGCTACTCCTTTAAGTACATACACAAACATATATATAATACATTAATTAGTGATGTGTAAACTCAAAATCACATCAAATCAAATAAAAAAAAAAAAAAAAAAAATTTTGTGATAGTGATATCAATTAAAATTAATTGGTGCCCATTACTCATTAAATATACAAAGTTAAATCAGGTAACTTAAAACGTGAAAAAATTTTCATTTTATATATATATATATATATATATATATATATATATATATAATTCTGTGAATAGAAAACCACATGTGTCTCTCGTGTAGTGAAAAAACCACAATATAACAGTAAATAGAACAGTGCTCTCAAAGTCCAATGAATGCTGATAGTGACCAAAGAATAAATAACACACTCGTGCTTCCAATAACTACTGATGGTGACCATAAATTAACAGGAACTCGTGTAGATATTTGTGTGCATGTGAATATGACAATCTGACTACCATCTGGATAAGCCTCTCACCTCATCACTTCGACCCTTGCGGATCAAAGCGCTTTAGTGGATCCCCCTAGTGTGTTTTTTATTCTTTGGTCACTATCAGCATTCATTGGACTTTGAGAGCACTGTTCTATTTACTGTTATATTGTGGTTTTCACTACACGAGAGGCACGTGTGGTTTTATATTCACAGAATTATATATATATATATATATATATATATGAAAATGTTTTTTCACATGTTTTAAGTTACCTGATTTAACTTTGTATATTTAATGAGTAATGGGTGCCAATTAATTTTAATTGATATCACTATCACAAAAATTTTTTTTTTTTTTAATTGATTTGATGTGATTTTGAGTTTACACATCACTAATTAATGTATTATATATATGTTTGTGTATGTACCTAAAGGAGTAGCGCTACATTTTTTATTGTATTTATTTGTAACGTTGAAGGAACGCTGCGATAGATAGGAGAGCAGAGTCTCGGAGGCCAAGAGAGTGGAGTTTTTTGAGGAGGGGGGATGGTCAACAGTATCAAAAGCCGCAGAGAGGTCAAGTAGTTAGAGTATGGAGTAGTGGCCATTGGTTGGGATGAGTATGGAGTAGTGGTCATTGGTTGGGATGAGTATGGAGCAGCCTCCATTGGTTGGGATGAGTACGGAGTAGTGGCCATTGGTTGGGATGAGTACGGAGTAGTGGCCATTGGTTGGGATGAGTACGGAGTAGTGGCCATTGGTTGGGATGAGTACGGAGTAGTCTCCATTGGTTGGGATGAGTACGGAGTAGTGGCCATTGGTTGGGATGAGTACGGAGTAGTGGCCATTGGTTGGGATGAGTACGGAGTAGTGGTCATTGGTTGGGATGAGAACGGAGTAGTCTCCATTGGTTGGGATGAGTACAGAGTAGTGGCCATTGGTTGGGATGAGTACGGAGTAGTAGTCATTGGTTGGGATGAGTACGGAGTAGTGGATATTGGTTGGGATGAGTACGGAGTAGTGGCCATTGGTTGGGATGAGTACGGAGTAGTGGCCATTGGTTGGGATGAGTACGGAGTAGTGGCCATTGGTTGGGATGAGTACGGAGTAGTCTCATTGGTTGGGATGAGTACGGAGTAGTGGCCATTGGTTGGGATGAGTACGGAGTAGTGGCCATTGGTTGGGATGAGTACGGAGTAGTGGTCATTGGTTGGGATGAGTACGGAGTAGTGGCCATTGGTTGGGATGAGTACGGAGTAGTGGCCATTGGTTGGGATGAGTACGGAGTAGTGGCCATTGGTTGGGATGAGTACGAGTACGGAGTATGGGATGAGTACGGAGTAGTGGCCATTGGTTGGGATGAGTACGGAGTAGTGGCCATTGGTTGGGATGAGTACGGAGTAGTGGCCATTGGTTGGGATGAGTACGGAGTAGTGGCCATTGGTTGGGATGAGTACGGAGTAGTGGCCATTGGTTGGGATGAGTACGGAGTAGTGGCCATTGGTTGGATGATACGAGTAGTCGGGGATGAGTAGGAGTAGTGGCCATTGGTTGGGATGAGTACGGAGTAGTGGCCATTGGTTGGGATGATACGGAGTAGTGGCCATTGGTATGAGTACGACTAGTTGACTATTGGTTTTGGCAGTTAGTAGATCATTAGTGAGGTTTAGTAGGGCAGTTTCAGTGGTGTGTAGAGAGTGAAAGCCAGACTGTAAAGGGTCAAGAAGGTTGTTGTCAGTGAGGTTGGAGCTCAGGCGATTGTAGACTAAGCGTTCTAAGAGTTTTGAGGTAAACGTGAGCAGCGAGATGGGTCATAAGTTGTTCAGGTTGGTGGGGTCCAGTGAGGGCTTTTTAAATATGGGAGTGATGTGTGCATAATAATAATAGTAGTGTGTGACTGTGGGGGAGGGGACATTAGAGTGTAAATTTTTTTGTTTATTAAAATCTTGCAAACAAAAAAAACATCATAAAAATCATATTTACATATATACAGTTTAAAAATATGTAGAACTAAACAAAACCAGCTTACTTCAGCAAAATAACAAATCCTGACCGTCACCTAAACACCCCTTCAGGCTAAGAAACGATTAAACATTCACCCCATACATTGATCCCACACATTCATCCCATACATTCATCCCATACATCGATCCCATGCATGCAGCCTTTCTTCAAAAAATCTGATGTTACAAAATCTAGGGGACGTGAAAGGACAGAAAGAGAAGCCACGCCCCCAGAGACTGACAGACAGCAGCTACGGGGACCTGACATTCCTCCACGCCTTTGTCCAGGCTCCCGGCCGCCACCTGTCCTTCTCAAGACCCCGAATCTTCCCAACCTCACCCAGAATGTTGTTCACCACCACCTCGACAGGAAGGACTTTTTTGCGAATGGAAACCTGACACCGTGCATTCCACGTGTGGTAACGGACTACTAAGCTAACTAGAAAAAGTGTCTCAAAATCAAAATCCCGGTGAGTCTGAAAGGCTCCGTAAGACCACTCCGCGTAACTCAAGCGGGAAAGGAAAGGGATCCCCAGAGCCCCACCCACCCGCTTGTAGACTTCTATATTGAAGGGGCACTGAAGCAAGAAATGGTCCATCGTCTCCTCCACTCCACCGCACTCCACTCTTGGACAACCACGGTTCTCCGCAGAGCGATGCTTCAGGTTGCCCTTCACATAGAGTCTGCCATGGAACGAGAGCCAGGCCAAATCCCGAAACTTTAAAGGGATTCTCTCCAGATTCATCAAACGCAGACCCTCCCTCATAACCGGGCCTGGGCAATCCCTCAAGGCCAATGGCTCGCTAAAGGCAGATTCAACAACCCTCCTCTCCAGGGCCTTCCTAGGAAGAGATTTAATTTCCTCCGCCGTCACTCGCCATTGCCGAAGCATTTTCAGACATGGGGCAACATAAGCCGGGAGCTTACCATGTTGGACCCTCAGGCTTTTCACTGGCCCACCATTCTCCCAGCTCCGTAGAAAAGGCCTAAACCAGGACTGAAAAAATACCAACCCACCCAGGCGGTTCCTCTGCCAGTGTAAAATATCGTATTGTCTCGATATTTTATTAACTTGTATTGATGAGAAATGTTCAAATAGAAAGTCCTTCCACTTCTTGTAAAAACTCAAAAAGATGATTTAATAATAACGTTGCATAAAATTAGAAATAAAATATTGGCATACAGAATGTTTAAATAATGTCCAAAAAATATAGTTAAGTTCTTGATAATAAGATTGTATATATGTATATGTGTGTGTATGTGTGTGTGTATGTCTGTCGCATCAAGGCTGCTATAGAGTGAGAGAGACTCAAAACTTTGTTCTGCTATTAAAAAAGAGCAATCCAGCCCCCACCAACCTAAAAGTGGGTTGGTATTCTCTTGTAGTTCTACTAAGATAATTGCTTCTCTCAAAGTCTGAGTGTAACTTTATCTCTTACATAGATGGGGGAGGATGGGGGAAGGTATAGCTAATTGCTCTCATATGTGGCTTGAATGTAAAGGAAAAACCCAAGATATATGTTCACAGACTATGAAGTCTAATTCCTTACTTTTCCCAATCTAGAACAAATATAAATATAATAACTCAATTATTCTATTAAGATCCAACTCATTCATACTTATGTTAGTACTGTTAATAAGAAGATATTAAATATTAGGTTAAGGAAAGCTTCTAACATTTCCCTCTCAAAATGATCGATTTTATCGAATCTTAATCATTTTCCTTATCTTAATCCATTTATACACATTCTCGTCACTTTCGTATCCATTCATGCGTTTTTGGATCTTAAGATAATTGATCTGAACATATCTTTAATTTGATTCTATAATGGGAAAACAAATTCTTTGATAAACCTTTTGTTATGTATCACATAAAAATATTTTTACCCTTATTATTTTCCTTTCCTTTTACCAAATAATTCATCCCCTTAATAAATGTATAACTGTAACATTATAGTACAATACTTTAAAATATGTCACTTAAAAAATAGATGTTTCATATTTTCCCTCCAAAATGTGTGTAGCACACAGTTCTATAATCCATACATTGTTCAAATTACCTTATTAACATTTAAACATAACATATGTTCTCTAACTTCAATCCATACATGTATATCAAATGATTTTTTTAAAAAAACATACATATAACAATGTAAAGCTTGCCTAAGTTTTTCTATATGTACCTTAGAAAAACTTATCCCTAGCTTAATTAACAACAGATGTTCTAACTAAGAGTGACTCTGTTGTAACAAAAGTTTAACCTCTTCACTTCTGAAAATACATAGTGTGTGATTGCAAATGTTCATGTGAAAACTGATCTCATCTTGATATGGTAAACATATCATGTCAAAATAAAATGTACACACAAAAAAAAAAAAAACAATATATCTGATGAATGAATTATTTCATCAGTAGTCAAAAAGTCAATTGTTTTATACGTTCTTCCTCTATGAGATGCCTTGAGATGTCTTGTCTTCTTTTAGCGCTCTGTAAAGTTAAAATAACTTTATTGAACATAAAAAGAACAACAAAAACAATGATGAATGAAATTCTTGTTGCAAAGCTTCTTCCAGAATAAATTTCCTTCTTGGAAAATGTATTATCATCTGAAAGGTTTAGAAATATTTGAGTTTTCTTCCTTTAACAGTTACTCTTAGGTCATTTCCTGTAACAGAAATGCAGTATCATTATTTTGGCATTGATAATTTTACATGGATTAATCCTCTTACATTTATCTGTTAATATTACATATCATAATCACAAACATTTCTAGTCATGACATGGAAGACATATTTTCATTATAACACTTCTTATTGACTTGTAGTGTTCTATTTTAGAATGCGGGCACTTCCGCCTAACAACACTAGGTTGCTGATGCAAATCCCAACCATGGCATCACCTGCCTGGAGTTTACATGTTCTCTCTGTGCTTGTGTGAGTTTCCTCCATGTACTCCGGTTTCCTTCCACACTCCAAAGTCATGTTGGTAGGAGAATTGGCTCCTATCTAAATTGGCCCTAGTATGTGTATGTATGACTGTGAGTTAGGGACCTCAGATTATACACCTCTTGAGGGTTAGGGACTTATGTGAATGTACTATATATGTAAAAAAGCACTACATAAATTCACAACGCTATATAAGTACCTAAAATAAACAAAAATAAATATAACAGGACGCTACATCTCCATTATTGGTCATGATTCAAAACCTTGGTTTCAAAACCAAAGAAAGGTTTTGTATCAACCCAGAGATGACAAAGGATCATGCCTTTGATCTTATCTCTATAACATTGGAAATATGCGTAGCTGTTTTTTGTGTTGACTTACTTCTTGTAGTGTAAGACTGATTTGCAGTAATACATACTGGTTTCAAACTTTTCTCAGTTCCTATGTTGAAAACATGAGGTACAAACTTCTCACTTACAGCTGTACAAATATGTGTTGGTATGTTTTCCTGAAAATGTCTTTTTGTTACATCTATTTGAATGTGTTTGGAAGACAGTGTTTTGTACCATATAGGATAATTTTCACGAATAATTTTCTGTTGAACCATCTTCCCCTAGGAGTTTCAGTGAGGAATCAGGTGTCTGTAATATAATCTTACTTGACCTCACAATGTATTCAGTTATTTTGACTGCAAAGAAAACACTTAACAATTTTTTCATATGTGCATCAAAGTTTTTCTCCATATTTGTCAAAGTTCTTGAGAAGAAACCTAATATTTTCTGATTATCTTCTTTTAATTGTGACAAAGTTGCTGAGATTGCATTATTGGAAACATTGGTTTCTAAAACAAAAGGAATTTTACTACAAAACTCAACAGTATTTAATGTAGTAGCATTCTGCAAATCCCATTTCAATAGTTCAAAAGCTTCTTTCTCAGTTTGATCCCATTGTTCCAATACACCATCTTTTTGTCTCAAACGATCAAATAATGATCTAGACTTTTCTGCAAAATTGGGTATAAAATCTTTACAATGATTTACTTCGCTCAAAAACTGATGCAAAGCCTTGCGATTTGTTGGAATTGGATAAGCAGAAATAGTTCTAACTTTTTCTTGCAACAACTGTCTCTGTCCATGACTAATTTGCATATGAAGGAATTCCACCTGTCTTTTCATCAACTGAACTTTCTCTGTATTCAATTTCAATCCTGCTGTTTGTAACAACGTAAATATTTCAGACAAAAGAGTGATATGTTCAGTTATATTTTGTGTAGACAAGAGAAGCTTGTCTACATGCTGGACAATACATTCTGGCCTAGAGAATTTAGATAATATTTTTCCCAAATACTCATGAACAATGCCATCACTTATATCCATGCCTGGGGCTAATCTTGTGAATGTATAAGTTTCTTTGTTGAAGCTAAAGGCAAGTTTATATTGACAACTCTTAGCTAATGGTACTGACAAATGGCTATTGGCAATTTCAAGTACTGAGAATATTTTGGCCTTGGCATCCAGATGTGACATTATGTTACAATCAGGAACAATAGATTTGTTATTTGTGATGCATTTGTTCAATGTCCTGAAATCAACTGATAAAGAATATGAATTATCAACTTTGATAGGCCAAATACAATTATTCACCACAGATTGTACTTTCTTTAAAAATTCCTTGCTGTAAAAACTCATCTCTACAATGGAAGAAATTGGATGAAGTGATTCTAATGGCAATTTGTATT